TTAATACTCCCTATCTATTTTGTAGACACCTTTTCGATAATAGTACTTTTTGAGCTCATATGAAGTTATATGAATACCTTTTTTAATTTTACTTAAACATAAGTAACTCTTCATAATACTACATATGATACTGTAAGGCTCATAATCTGGTTTGTTGATTTTTGAAGTCTTTTAAGTTGGTTTACTTTAATTTAGAGAGGGATGTAGTTTCTTTGAAGTTTTTGATTAGCTGAGAGCCAAAGTAATAGGAGATGTTTGGAGAAAGGAGAAAGTTTTCTTTCTGTATATAGAGAGAGTTTCACCATCTGTCTTTCCAAGTAGATAGCAACTAACAATGAACATCAAACTCCACAAAACACGAATCGAACCAAACAAGTCTTTGGGTGTGTATGAAGTATACCAAGAGATAAGACTTTCCTTGAGAGTGCAAGGACCTATCAATACAAATTTCACTAATTGATTTTGTTTCCAATTTTCTTCATCTTTTCTTTCTTTCGAACCTACCAATTACAACCTTTTCACATTCACTTTCCCAAACTGAATTCTCTTTTTATTAATACTAAGCTAATTTAAAAGGGTTAAAAGAGGATGTTAAAAACTATACCTCTTAGATATAGCTTTTTTGTTGCCTAATTACTTATATGAAAGTTATTTATACAATATGAGATTTTAATTACCTATGTTATTATATATGCTCAATATTCTGATAACTTCTACAGAATCCTTTTAGTACCAATCTAGGCCTGGGTCTAGTTATCTGTAATGTTATTCTCAAAAGATTATTAGCTTTAGCTATAGTAGTTTTTATTACTTGTATTAAATCTATACAAAATAATTTATCACCCTAAACACAATTACTACACTTGAGATCTGAGCTGTCATTCTTGACCACTGCCAGTGCCAATACTCATATAAACCAATACAAAGTTAAAAAATAACTTTTTACCAATGATTTATTATTATTTTTGGCAAAATCTGGATTTCGTAAGAAAAATTTTGCCACATCCGCTCTACCACGCCTCTTAGTTCCATTTATTACCTTTTTCAATTCAATTGTAGACACCAAACTTAATGTGACCAGCGGACCAGATTGCCAAGGGGTATCGATACAAAAACCTTCTAAACTTACCACCATCCCCGAGCACGACACTCCTACCGTAAGTTGCTTCGGTCCACGGCAACCAGGTTGACGGAAAGTGCAGAGCAGAATTACCAGATGAGTGATGTTTGATGTCCAGAGCCTCGGATGGGATGGGGGCAACCGCGGCCCTCGGTTTTGTTTTGCCCCTAGGTTCACGGTTGGATTGATGGGTTGGGCTCACGACTATCCGGGTACAGCGTTTGCTATCATATTCGTACCTCCTCATGGTTCGCCTTAACATGGCTCGCTGCAATTTACTGGCCAATTTAAGCAGCATCCGGAGATCGGCTGCCGTAGTGCACCTGCTTTGAGATAGACCGGAAGTGACGGTTGCCCCCCATCGAAGAGCCCATACTACCGGTACTCGTACAACTTGCTAGTATGATCCCGGTTATCCTCTTCAAGTTCGTTTTAGTCTGGTCTCGGTCAGTTCGGTTTGGGCGGGAGCGACGATGTGATAACCGTACTCGAGTACTCGAGTAGATCTTATTTCATCGATGACGGCGGAGGGGGGCTAGGGTTTTGTATTGTGGACTTTGAAGACTTTTTTTTCCTTCTTCTTCTCTCCCTTCTTTTCTTCTTTTGCTTTCTTCCGGTTATGGGTGTCTGGTTGCATAGGTTGTACAGTGGCTTGATATTAATATTGACGAGTAGATTTGGATGACGTTTGTTATTTATTTATTTTTCCTTGTGGGAAGGAAGGAAGAAAGGAAGCTTTAGTTCCATCGTGGAGTTTGGAGGTACTTGTACTTGTACTTGTGATATTGCAGTCAACCGCTCTGAACTCGACGCCTGTCCATGAGGCTTAAGGGGACTAACTTTGACAATGGTAGGAGTGCGCATGGATTGCATATGATACACGCTCGAGTATACTTGTACATATTCGTACATACATCTACCAAGGGTCTAGGTACTCAACATCACTCAGAGAGTGCAGAGGCCGGTGAAGATAAGATTGAAAGATGGGCGTAAATTACATTCAACGAATGAATCTTTAATTTTCCTTCCCCGAGAAAAAAAGTGTGTGGGAGCAAAAATATTTCCGGGGGAGAGAGAGGTGAAAGAAGGGAGGAAAGAATGGATGGATGGAGGAATGGATGATAGGGATGGGTGATGCTCCCAAAGTGTGATCTCGGATTCACCTCGATGTGAATTCGTGGATCAAGAGTCAGTGCTGCGATCGAGAGTTTTTATGATACCCTGTCAGCGGCTGCCTTTTTGGAACCACACAATGCTTGACGACTTATTTCTGTGATCTTGACCAGGGCTGCTGGCCCCGGTCGGTCTCTGGAGGGATTGATTTTTTTTTTTTCTTTTTCCCTCTCCTCTTCTCCCTCTCTCACTGGAGCACTTTTGTGGCTCGTAAAATGCTTGAGTGCAAGTAACTCGAGCACATCAATCAGAGCGCTGTTGTTGTTTGTTGATGTCGTCCCGTTTTGAGTCCAGCCTTCCTGTCATGGGCGGTTAGTGTGCTGCCGAAGTACGGGGTGATGGATGTACACTTCTTGTATGTATGTATGGATGGGGGGAGATAGGGGGAAAGTGCAGCCCGTGGTAAGAATATTATTCTGTTTCGGCATGCCTTCATGCTTGTGGAGTAGGTTAGACTATAGAAGGGATTGTGCAAACAAGTACCCGGGTACAGGTACAGTACGGTACACTATGGCCAAGGACCGGAACAGATTTTGAAAAGGAATAGAAGACAAAGGAGAGGAGTTCAGTGATCAACTCTACTGTACTCGAGAGTACTCAACTCTGCTCTACCGGCCTCTCAACCTGGGCGTCGAGCTCTTGTCCAGTTTGCGCCACTCTCCCTTCAAGCTGCTTACCGGCATCATACAAACCGACCTGCCTTTGATGAGCTACGTTACCTTACATTACGTTATGATACCTACCCGTCTGCCTCACCTCACCTCACCTCACTTAGCTGACAGACTGGGTGACTGGCTGGGTGAGGAAAGGGGAATCACTTCCTTTGATCTGTCAGTCGGCCGGTCAGTCAGGTCTGCAAGAGGGACAGCTTGACAGGGACGAAACATAACGCCTTATGAGCCGGGGAGTGGGCAATTGGTGTCGCAATTCCGTCAAATTTCAGTCAGTGGAGAGATTCCCCCCTTCGTCACTACTGCTCACTGTATCCAGTTTTAGAACAGGAGAGCTAGGAAATATAGTACGAGTGCCACTGCAAAGTTTCCCTTCAAAATCGAGTACCATCCATACCAGTGCATACTAATATCATACATATCGGTATCGTATCTCTTCGTCTCATCTAAATCTTTAAATTCCTTTGCCCCACCATCACCACCTTGCTCCCTTTCCCTCCCCCACCCATCCACCCCCGGTCAAAAGTCAGGTCAAGTCCAGTCGAGAGTTGAGAAAAGGTTAAGCCGAAAAAGTCAAATCAAGGCCGAATCGGTCCATTCGCCCAGGAGAGTACTGCTTCGACAGGAGTCATCAAGATTTCACTTGTTTTCTTTCCTTTTTCTTCATTCTACCATTCCCTTTGGAATTTCAAAATTACACGTTGTTTCTTTCATTCTTAAGCTGTTACGGTATCTTCCCATACCCGTATTTCCTCCATTCCTTCCAGAAGGTTAATACACAGTCAAACTGAAGCAGCAGAGAGTGAGGAAAAGAAAGAAAGGAGAAGAAAAGAAAGCAGAAAAGAAAATAACCTAAACTTTGCCCTTCTATCCTGTCCAACACCCTTCCCCCTTTCAAGAAGAGTCTACCGTACTCGAGTAGATGTTGGTGTAGCCTTGGGTTTTAGCATCTCAACTGGGTTACAGAAAATAAATCGTCCCCTTCCAAAGCTCTATCTTGCCTCTTCTTCTCTCCCTCTCTCCCTCTTCTTTCTTTCTATCCTCTCTTTCTCTCTCTCTCTCTCTCTCTCTTGCTGTCGTTGTTGCTCGTGGTCAGCGCTGGCACGTTCTCCCATTCCAAGTGTACATGTACACCTTTTTTGCCATCATCGAGAAATCAAGGAGCCGATCATCAATCGAGATCGAAGCATTGAATCGGCCTCACGTTTCTCTTCGGCCTTCCGTTTAACTCTTTCTTCCCCAACTTCCCTTTCTCTCGCCCACATCACTCCCTTTTCTCTTTTCCAACCCCCTACATCCCGGTCACTCACTTACTCACTCGCTCACTCACTTACTCACTCCTTCATCCGCTCCGCTTGAGCTACCTCACGCGCCGACCCTTCCATTTCACTTTCCTCCCCATTGCTCCTCCTGCCAACTGCAGTGCAGAACCTAATATTTCTCAACCAGTCCTAGAGGGAAATTCCCCCCAGCTTAGAAACAGGACAGAATTACCTTGCAGGAGCTGCGGAAAACGGCATAGTTTCCGAGGAGTGGGCGCCAGGATTTCTATCCATTAAAAGGGACCTGGATTCCACATACTCCTGCCTCCTTCTAGAGCTGCTGGCTGTGTGTGGCGAAAAAAGTGGGTTTGCCTCAACCCGAATCATTTCCCACGTACCTTGCGGCTGGCGTTCGTCCACCGCAGGATCACCAATCGGTGTTCCCAACCCGCTCCACAATCGAACGGGGGCCCTTTGTTCATTTTTCCTCCCCGCCCCCTGCTGAAAGCCTGTCTTTTTTTTTTTTTTTTTTTTTTTTTTTTGTATATTTTTTTTTCCCCCTTTCCCTTTCCCTTTCCTATTTCCTTCATCCCACCCCACACATAAGCTCTTGCATGGATTGACGGCAGGCAAGAAGTACTATCTACCTTTCCTCCCGACCCTTCCTATTATAACGCCGTCAAGTTGGAGCCGTTACACCTTTTCATAGATGCCCCCTCGCCCAAACCGGGCGAGGGGCGCACAACAATTCTCGAGCCAGCCGCGGACACTGTCATGGAGAAAGCTCTACCTTCCCCCGATATCTCACCGCGACCAGGACTCGATGCCTTCCAAGACGCGCGCGCTATCATACGGCTTACGCAATGCTCCATCTGTTCTTTACCTCTGAGATCTCCTAGGACCTTACCTTGTGGCAACTCACTCTGCCACAAATGTATGCCTGAATGCTACATTCGCCAAAACATCTCATACCCTAGCGTTGTCGGTCGACGGGAGGGATTTTCGTGCCCTTTTCCGGATTGCCGGAAGGAACATTCTGCTGCCGACTGTAATTTGGATGTTACACTGGCGAAGGTGATGGAGGTTGTGGATAAGGAGCTGGGATCACAGACACGGTTTCCGGAGGACACGGCGTTGGAGGTGGTTGTGAATGTTGATTGCACAGGTGGTTATGAAGAGCGGAAAAGGCGGATGTATGGGGGACGGTTGGCTGCTATATATGCCCTTTCAAAGCAGGGGGAATTGTACTATGACGAGGATGCAACATGCACTCCGCTGGTGGGCGACAACTTTGGTCCCTCCTACCTCGACTACGACGCTCTCGAGAGATTAATGGACAAGGCTCGAGCGGATTTGGAGTGTCAGGTTTGTTATGGAATGCTTTTGGATCCCGTCACCACTTATTGTGGCCATACTTTCTGTCGTGGATGCTTGGAGCGGGTTTTGGACCATTCTCGACATTGTCCTTCCTGCCGACGGTTGATGCACCTTCCATCTATCCTACCGGCACAGTCTAGCAATAAGAGGCTAACAGAATTACTGGTGGGGTTATGCCCGGAGGCTCTGTCCCAACGAGCATTGGCTGGGGCTATGGAGTCGATGGCTGGGAATGGTGATGGTGGACTGTCGACTCCAATATTTGTCTGTACGGCCTCTTATCCTGGAATGCCTACCCCTCTACATGTTTTTGAGCCTCGCTACAGACTCATGGTGCGACGAGCTTGTGAGAGTGGCGCAAGGAAATTCGGAATGTTGTTGCCGAACCGCACGGGTGCACCGCAGGGTGATCTTGGTGTCACGCCCTTCATGCAGTATGGGACCATGCTGCAGATTGAAGAAATAAACATGTATCCAGATGGCCGCAGCGATGTTTGGACCGTTGGTGTTTCACGTTTCAGGGTCAAGAGATGGGGTATTCGAGATGAGTATATCGTGGCGGACGTGGAACGCGTAGACGACATCCCGATCATCGAGGAGGAGGCCATCGAAGCGCTGGAGACAGCTCTCTGCCTGTCTGCTGCTCAGGAAGTGCATGCCTCTTGGATGGGTTTGCCCACGCAGACCCTATTGCATATTGGCCACCAATTCGTCGACCAGATGCAAGCGATATCGGCTCCATGGCTCCATGAAAACAATATCCTGGCCTTTGGACAACGACCGGATGATCCAGCTCTTTTTCCGTATTGGCTCGCGAGTGTTTTGCCGGTGACCGAAACGGAGAAATACCGTCTGTTGTGTTCCACTAGTGTCAGAGAACGACTGCAAATTGTGGTAGGCTGGATCAAGAAAATCGAAACTCATCGCTGGTAATACTCCACCCAATCATATCCCATGCGGGCCAATTTGATATCCACCGCATCTCTAACGTATGATAGGTTCTCTGCTAGTACTTGCGTTATTATCTGAACTCTACCCACATAAACCAAAACGCGAAATCCAAAACATTCATAGACAGACACGCACCCAGCATTACCTTACTGCACTCGTACATTTACTCTTCAACCTCGTACCTCCGGTCTTTTTTGACCATTTTTTTATATAACTTCACCGCTTGTTGTTTGTGTTTCTCGTTACTACTTTTTTTTTCTTTTTTCCTTCTCGTTCCATGCAGGTGGCGTATTCTCGATCGCCAATTGTACTTGACCGTGTTTTTCCTGTCGCTTTTTTTTTTTTTTTCCTTCGGCGCTTTCTGGAGCATTTGGTTTTTTCTTTTTTCTTTTTAATCCAGTTTGGGAGACTTGCACGATATATTTAACGTTTTTTCTACTTATCGTCTTCACCATCGTCATCACCACCAGTCCTTAACCAAAACTGTGGATACTTCGCCTTTTTCCTTTTCACTCCCGGAGGCACAATTGCTTTGTCGATGTTAAACTTCAGATCTCCTACTCTATTTTTTGGTCTTATTTTCGGAAATTTCCACGTTCGGCATGGTACTTTACTTTTCTTGGGGTGTTATGCATGGCATCGGTGGGCGGATCAATTCAATCAAGTTGTTCAAGCACAAGCAGGGTTATTCAGTCCGTTGAGGCAAGACGTAGCGTGCTCGTGTGCTCGCGGGATGGCCATTTCGAATTCGGATATGCTGGGAGCGGCCTAACTTCCTTTCACCTTACTAAAATCAGTTGGAGAAATCGGGGCTGTTTCCTTTCAATCTCCACATTTTCTCCCCACAAAAAGATCTGCATCCAACCCCCTCCCCCCAAACTAGCGAATGATATCCTATGATTACTTACCTACTCAACCAATTTAGGTGATTTCCCAGTCCACTAATGCGCAGCTCGGTTTAAGCATTGGCGTCGAGTAGGCGGTTTAGGGTTACAACCATGGAACGCCGAAGTACACACCCGTCCAAATACACATCTCGAAACTGACTGGTCTAATCTTGGTAATCAAAACTTCTGAGCTAATAAGTGGAGACCATATATTTGGGCGGCCCGCCCGTGCATTTGGGTGTTCTGCGACTGTACAGTATGATATGATATCATACCTCGCAACGTGCGGTCCGTCTGGGGGCCAGGGTGGAGCGTTTGTGGTGCCCCCCTGTTTCTCTGCGGGCAAGGTGGGTTCGGTGGACGGGGAACTGCCCTTCCCGCACCCCACACGTGATGTCCCAAAGCCCGAAGTTACCTCATCCCACCCGCGCACGAGTGGGACATTCTGAACGATCCATCGATAGTTATCCTGCCCACCGTGGCCCGTGTTTGAGCGCTGTGGCTGTTTGGATGTAGGTGTTTTATCCTGGGGGCGGGCGCCAGCCGGATATACTGTATCAATATGATACAGTACATGTTCTGGTAATAGTACCCCTGGGAGTCACCACATGAATACATTATCTATTCATCCCATCCCAACACAACCTACGAGTCATAAATTAGCTTACCGCGGCCACCCCACTGCACCGTGCAGTCGGGTAAACCTTCAGCCCCGCACAACGCGCTCTCGAGTGAGACATTGTGAATGTTGTCACGATTTGTGATACCTACCGCACGCACTTGCCTGTACGATTCCGGTGTCGGGTCACGCTTGACGAATGTCCATTTCGAGAATGGGTGGTGTATCATGGTTTGTTGGGTACCTGCAGTGGAGATTGTGGAACACCGCTAACGTGGGGGATGAATAAGACATTTATGTCTTCCGGGTGTCCACCGTCGGTTCGGGAGATATTGTAGTCTATCGCATCGTATCATACCGTATTGTCTCCGGTGGGGGAGCGTACTATGCCCTAAATTGTGGATCGATATCATACCACCAACAGCGGCGGCGCTTCGAGATCTAGGTTAAGAATAATTTCCCTCGCTCGTGGATGGTGGGCCTTGCCTTCGCGCACATCTCTAGGTAATTGGAGATCGCGGTTAGATATTTTTGTTGACTTGGGTTTACTTTCTCCTCCCTCCTCCTCCTCCCCTCTTCGTTTGTCCTGGTTATGAGAGGCATCACGGCGGATACCGTACAGCCATATATAGTCTGAAATAAATCCAAGAATGACCCTCCATTGTCTCCGGCTAGTGTAAACCTCAGGCGTGATGGGGTTAAGCAAGTATCCATCAGCGGGGCAGTATGGGCGTGCACCAATCCATCACCACATCGGCGAGTATGAATCGTGAAAACACACCTCCTGCCCATAGAAAAAATATGTATGAACTACTTTAACCGTGTCCTTCAGCACCCCAGGCCTGCGCACGTCTCTTGGTCTTGCGGGTTTGGTGCGCATGATATCTCTACTCGGGAGGGGGGGGGAGTTTACCCACTCGGATTGGTTCTGGTGTTGGTTGTGTGTGTGCAACTTCTGTGCTGTGGAAAAGGTATCATAAATTAAAGGGGGTAATGTAGATTATTAATATCACTCTCCTTCCCCTAGGTTCGCGCATTGGGGACTGTATATGTCTGCCGGCGTCCCCCTTGGCAAGTTACAAGTATGATGGGACTCGGTATGATACCTACTCCAGTCCTGTATTCTCCATCTCAACCTCTCACTCGCATTCCCACCCGCAACCCCCCCCTCTCCGTGTTGAGGTCACTACCGTAGGATATAATTATTTTCTTGTTTTTTTACCCGTACGCCGAAATTTGATACAACTTTTTAGAGGTTTAAAGACGCGGGTAACTTAGGCACCACCAATTGGTTGTGAAGATATTTGCTTAACGGATCGTTTTTGCTTGCTCGCATCCCAGTCCCAAACCCCGAACTCGCAGCCGGAGACGCACGTGCTGTCAAGAAGTGAGATGGGGTACACAATAGGGCCTTTTCGTGATGCATGGCATTATACGGTACTTGGATCGGAGATTGAGCACATCCCGGCCTTATAGTACGGTATCATACCCCGGAAGCCGTGATGGGAGGTGGGAGTGCGGATTAACTTTATAACTGAGCGATTACAAATAAATGCCGTTGGGAGTAGTATGCTTTTTTCTTTTTCATTTTTTTTTTTCACCCGGCTGAGTTGTCTTGGTAAATCGAGATCCCAATTCTTTTCCCGGGAAAAGGTAGGAGCTAAAACATCATTTTCGTTAGCAATTGCTTTAAATTTGTCGTTGGTGGGATTTGGTTTTGACATGATATGAGCTTGGAGGTTACGTTCTTGTGTGTATGTAATACCCCATTTTTGCTCGGGGGGGGGGGTTTGGTTCCCTATTATACAAGCGAGGTTAACATATATGCCGTCTCGGCGATATTAGGATAATTAATATATGATAATATTATTTGGCAGATGAATTCCCTCCTTGAAATGGTAATTGAACCCCCTCCCCCCCAATACTTGTAATCGTAGCTATCGCATACAGCCGAAATTGGCCGGAGCGCTAGGGTTCCGATGGCACGCGAAAAGTATCATAATATTATGATAGTCCACCAAGATCACCAAATTCCCGCCTGCGAACCGAACCGGCCAACCACAATATCCGTCCCTATCCGAATCATATATTGTGATCGTGAGAGAGGAGAGTCTTCTATGATACTTCTGGATGTGAATGGATGGAAATAGAAATCGTGTGGGTGCTGTGGGAACCTGGTCGGTGATGGGTTGGCTCCACTATCGTGGGACATTTTACGATCCATCGAATGTTTTTCAGTTTTTTCTTTTTTCGGAATTTATGAGCTGGGGTTCTAGGAAATTCCGAGGAGTTGGGTTTTAGTTGGTAGGACTAGCGTTTGCTATCGTAGCGGGGAGGTTCCGAATGGCCCCGTGAATGGGGTGTGTACCGGGTTGTTGGCCTTTGCCTGTCTGCTCTGGTGAACTTGGGTGACGAGTATGCGGTACTTAGCTAGGGCGTTTAACTTAGGTACTGGTGGTAGAGGGTGGCGTTGCACAAGTATCATAGTGGGGTAGTTTTTTCTTGCCTGTTGTGGGTGCCAATGTTAGTTTTTTGTCCTTCCCCGCAAGTAGGATGTTCTGGGCCGGGGACGTTGGCCGTGACTATAGACGAAGTAGAAGGTGGAGGGGGCCTGTCGGCCTAGATTCGTGTGCTTCACTTGTGGTCTGCTAATCCGAGTATACCTAGTTGCTGTCTTAGAATTTATCTACCGCAGCGCCTGTATCATAGGAGTTCGGGGAATTAGTGTTGTTGCAGGACTTAGGTGTTTGCTTTCAGGCTTTAGACGCGGCATCTGGGGGTTGGTGGGTGAGAAGTTTCATCACTCAGGGCCCAATTGTACAATTTAGTAGCCCTAGGAGCGCGTGTTGTGTTTGCCTGTCATGCCTCCGTCGGAATTGAGACGTAGTTCGACAGCGGTTTGATGTGCGTTGAGTAAATATCTGTTCCGAGTGATTATCGTCTTGGTGCGCTAGGACTGTGTGTCGCTGGGTATTGCTTGAAAGCACTCGTATGGAGTCGTTTTGGTATGGTGGGATGATAGCAAAACACTATGAACCGGTTGATAACTAAATATAGCAAATACAATAGCTACAATGGCTATGAATAATAGAGAATTACAAAGCCTTCAAAACATAACGATATCCAAACATACTATAACTAGAAGTGGCCGGCAACCGGGATCTTGCTCTCCTATTGCAGAATAAGAGCTAAGCTTCTGAATTCGTCACTCACTCAATGCGGTACGAGGGAGGACTGTCTGAACAAGAACCTCAACAGTCAGTCATCTTAAAATTGGTCGGGTCGGAACGTCTTGGGGGGGTGAATAACGAAACCGGTTGCAGTGAGCGCTTATCGCGTCAGAGAGTTGCGTTCCTATGTTTTTTTTCGTTTTTTTTCGGAATATATTGTTTGTCTGATAGTGAACTCTATTAGAGGAGAGTTACGTCTTAGAGGGCTTCTGTGCCTCAATGATATATGCCCTTGAGCTGAGTGAGGTATCCAACGGGTGGCTTGGACATTCTCCTTGCTTAACCTGCACTCTTGTGGCGTTGGCCCTTGTGATCTCTGGAATGGCATTCAATTACCGAGCTCCGACATGAGGCATATTGGTCAAGATCTGTTGTTCGGGTCTAATCTCCCCTAGTATTAACTAACCCCAAGATTTTTTTCCTCCTAGCACCTAATCTATCGGTTGATCATTTGTTTTTCCGGCGCCAACAGCTTGTATATGGTGGATGGGTTTGTAGGCCTGATGCTGCGGTTGAGGTTTGTTCCTCGATTTCAAGTTCACGGGGTCGGTGATACCTGCCAAGTAAGGGGTTAAACCATATAAGCTTTATCTACGGGCTGAATTGAAAGTGGCCTGAAGCGCTGGGCACCTTGGGGTCTTGTTAGAGGGGACTGGGTTTATTATGACTACCACCTGAGCTAGTCCGCCGAATTGACGACTTCTTCGGCCTGAACATGATCTTACTGCACCCTCACCTCAGCTCAAAACATTCCGACTGGTATATCAAGCGATCACGCGCTCGCGCCGTTTAAACGCCAATTCCGTTGCGTGGTTGGTCCTGCAGCTGATCGAAAACAAGTGTCCCCTGAGGTCCGGGGGCACTTGAATCCAGTAGCACGAATGCATTGACTACTCAAGCGCTCGAGTGGTAAGGTCAATAACACGATTTACCTTGTCTTGGCGTTCCGACTCTAGTGGGCTTCACTTACCCTGCCAGCTGCCCCCAAGTGAATGTCACCCGCGCGCGAGTATTTGAAGCAAATTCTAGCCGCTTCTAGTATCACGACTTGCTGATGATTGCTAGGCTACCTCGGGGGATGAGCTGAGACTCGGGATTTCTGTTGATATGCTGAGCCCCTAATGTTGAAACACGCTGAAGCTTGTGTGTGCTCGGTGTGGTGGTTGACGGGTTATAAGCAGAGAGAAATCCCCTCAATCGGGAGCCTTGAGGTTTGTTCGGATTTTGACCTTTTTTCTTTCTTTCTAATCCTCAATCCTAGGGAAGCTGCGGCCGATCCTTAAAGTCTGCCGGCTCATATCGTACGATAATCTATTGTGAGGTTTGCACTGGTACGGTGAGTGTTGGTGCTTCGCTTGGATGTCATGTTTGCCTGGGTTGAGCTCTTGGTACGGCATCATGCCCGGAGGAGGAGCCGGGGAGAAGGGGGGAAAAAAAAAGGAAGGAAATTGCTCAGTCTCACAGCGCACCGACACAATAGGGCACCGATGAGAGGAGGAATGGGCCAAACAGCTGTTGGGTTGATGTCTCTAACGAAGCGCTGAGTTCTACACACTAGTGAGTTCATACAAGACCCAGACTCCGCCTCTTTTCGGTTTCCCACCTCTGCCACGCGAATCCGATCAATGGCGGAATAAACCCCCTCTTTTCAGTTGTACCTACTACTTTGAACAGAGAACCTCAGACTTGTCATGACTATGAGCACGGCGAAGCCTCTTTCTTCCGGAGTATACCTTAGTTAGGTGCATAGTACCTAGCGTAGGAAAGAGGGGAAAAAAACAGTACCTTAATTACGATTCGATATTGAACGAAAGAGTTCGAGCTGACTGCTGGCCAGTTGTTTATTCCCCTTTTTTACCACTAAAGGCGTGCGTATCTGTGGCCCTCAAAGTCTCTGGCGTGCAAGGCACACTTTGGTCCATCACCAAGTTTTGAGCCTGGGCATCTCTCCATTATTTACGCTGTGGCGGTTGGGGCGTACATAACGCATGACTCGAAAGCCAACACAAAAAGAATCGCCTGGTTGATCTCTCTCTAATTGAAATGAAAGGGAACAGTGATTCAGAATTTACTTCTGCGCACGCCGTTGTGCTCTTAGAATTTTGTGATATTCTGACGGTCTTTTGCTATCGGAACCTCATTTAGTCGGCGGCGGGCCTGAAATCGGAGGGGCATTTGGGGGGCCCGGAGGTTGCTGTGGGGAATTCGGTACCGGAGGGTTACCAATGCAGTTTCGCTGAAACACCGCCAAGTGACAGAAGAGGCTCAAGTATCAACACCGGCACCCACGCACAAGGGCACTTTGAACTCATACCATAACCCACCAACTCGTCTGATTTTTCGTCTCAGTGCCACCTGGTGAGGCTTCCTTCCGAGTGCGCTTGCAACCTCCACGGACTCTGATAGCTTCCAGTACACCTGAGGTGCTAACTCGGGAAGACAAAATGGACAATTTTCAACTTCCCAGATTATGACGTCGGACGGAGCTGTTGCGGGGGGTGATGGGGCAGTGGGGTAGCTTGGATTTTGTGCCCCATCTTGTGCGAGAGTAGTGCACCTTCTAGGCCCTGGGATACGTTCTATGGGAGGATGCTGGGCGCTGGGTGGGATCTGGCACTTATGTTGTCTCCCATCTTGCTGCTTGATTGCTGCAGGTACCGGTCGTTGAAAAATGCACAGCGTGGTGGGGCGGAGGCATATGATTAGGGCTACACTGTGTGTGGTGGTGCGGTCTCAGCACAGCGGTGGTTAGGCAACAGAAACTGTTTGTACCTGCGCCGTGACAAGCCTTAATCTTCCTGTGAACATGAAGTATTTCCCCTTCCCACTAACACTGGCTGTGCTTGCCAACACCCAATCACGATCATAAATGAGACCTAAGGGGAGTGCTTTTCTACCACTTATCGCGTTGTCCAACCTTACCACTGCCCGCGAACCTACGGCGGCCACCCCGCGGTAATGTGGTCCGTCTTATGGATGTTGGTTTCGCACCGGGTTCGGTATCGCGCACTTAATTGTGGGAGATGAGAGATTATGGCGGTGTATCAGCATTGGTGCTTTGGGATTTGGGAAATGTAGCCTTACGGTCTTCATACACCCTAGGTTCTACTCTTACGCCTGGAAAAGTTTAAAAGGGTCGGTATCTCCTTCTGGTCCCCTCTTCCAAACACATCCAAGAACAGACAGTCCACCACAGTCCTCCAGAACAACCGCTGCTTCCAAAGCTATATATACTGCTCGACCCCCCCCCCCGATCTCAAAAGCATTCAATCCTACCATACTCTTCATTAAGTCTCTTTCCGCGACTTCACAAACTACTTTTGCCATTCTACTTTGCTACTTTGCTACTACCCCAAGCATGGCCTGGTTTTGTGTAAGTTATTCCTTGCTCCGCTTTACTCATTGTAATCATCTGCTAATACATTTTGCAGAGCAACTGTGGCTTTGGTCCTCACAACCCCGAACTACATGTCGCATGCATCGAATGTGGTAGGCCCGCGAATGGCGAGGAGTGCGACGAACAGCGCCCTGGCAGCCGCAGCTACCCAAACTGCCAAAACGCAGACTCCGCAAACGCCTTTCTTGTGGCCGACACCATCATGAGGAATCATTCCACCTAGGAGGGCTTCTCGACTTGAGACCCTCCCTGACGCACGCATGGGCAACAAACGAACGGCCACGAACCATGGACGAATACCCACCGAGAACATCGATGCCTTCTCCTAGAACACGGGACAGCAGGCAAAACATCGGGACCTTCTACTGATGGATCCCTAAAAAATATGGTAGACGAGGATAGACATCTTCCCCTGGCGCTTTTAGAATCTCTTCCTTTCGGAACAAATTGGGCTCTTTTTTAAAAAACTTTCTTTCTTTTAATGGGCGGGGATATCAAAAGCTGTGTCACTATTGGATCGCATTCTGACAGCAATATGGTGGCTGATGGTGGTTTTTCCTGGGCTCATTTTTTTCAAACACTTGCTGTTGTACCTGTACTTCCTGTACTAGTACTAGTACTACTGCTACCGGTACCGGAACGCTTCACGGTCTTTACTTTCTTTTGTATCTGGAATTTGTTTTTGGATCTGTACCATCTTGGACTGCTTTCTTTATATTATTAGTCAGTTATAGCTCGCAATCATTGATCTCTATCACGCGCTTGATTACCATGTGTAGCCTTCTTTTATCACGAGTATTTTATTAGGGTTGAAAAGATAGAACTGTTTGTGGATTACTAGTCCGGGTGGTTTATGGATTCATATCTCTAAGCCTCTGCGGGTGCCAGCAGGGTAAGTTGCTCGTACACTACGAGTACCGGTATTCGAGTATTTCTGTTCGCGTAGCGAGTGAACGAGTAACGTGATGACACTTCAAATACCTTAGGCTACTGGTTGTCATCTGCATCCTAGCCTCAGCTACAACCTTTCAACACCCTCAACAATCATAATACACCTTTGCGAAAGAACCAATCGAGTGGCACGCCTTTAACAGAATCTTGCGGTACGGTACGGTACTCGAGTAGAATCCTCCTGTAAATCATCTCTAGGGAAAGCCGCAGTTGCCTTCACCGAAATGCTACCGGCGGAAGCTCTCGCTAAGCCAGACCTTTGCGATGACGACTGTGTACCGCATTATGTGAAGCACCACTCAACATCACATCTAGCGTTCTCGTCGCTCCTGTTCACCGCTACCTTCTGCATTATTTTCCTAGGCGTCCTACAGCGGCTTTTTCCGGTACTATGCGGGGCAGGCAGGCGCCACGCTCACCACGAGAATAGGGGGCAACGAAGGATCGCAGCGATAACCTTCTCGACCATCTTTGGAGCGACGGGGGTACTAGCAGAGTTGATACTATGCGAGGTGAGCGAGTGGGGAGAGGCTTCGGCTCGGAAAGCTGGCTTTCAGAGTTGCGTGTGGGTCCTGATGATTTGTTTGGTTGCGGTCGCGCCGTTACTTGAATTTCACAGCTTGGTTGAGGGATCAAGGATATCTACCTGGCGAAGGCGATATGTTGTTCTGTTCGAGATGGCTATTTTCGGTGTATGGCTTTGGGTCTTCTGGAGCTTGGGCGATCGGTTGCCGATAAGGAAGGCGGATCAGAGCCTCTGGAGAGACTGTAAGGAGTTGCTTGCCTTCTGGCACCGTATTCACGTTTTTGTCTGCCTGCTCACTAATACGGTGTTTGGATTTATAGCAACCAGAACCCTGAGGGAAGAATGTCTGGCAAGAGTAGGCGTGATAGGTGTCTCAGTAAGTGTAATCTCCGGATATTTGGCTCGCTACAGTCCTAACCGTATATTTAGTTGATGGCATTATTATGTGAGCTTGCATTGTCTAGCTAATTTCAACTTCGAGCATTTGTATCTTGGGGAAGCATTCACTGACTAGCGCTTTTCAGCCGGGTTCGGTTGTGTTTCTTCGCCGTGGCATGACTTTACCGTCAAAACGAGGCCTATTACCGAGATTGACATCTCGCGTGCTCAAGGTGGCCTGGATGCCACTATTGAGATGCTTGAGACTAAACGCAGCAGGATGAGGCTCTTGGAGAAAAAGATCCGAGATAAGAAGGTGGGAAGGCTTCTGTCCTTAATGCTTGATTGTATCTTATTTTAGGACCCTGCTGATGAGTGACTGTCTATAGGCTTCCCAGGAAGGCTTGATGAGCAAAGTTCTTTCTTCAATTCGCGGAGATGCCGATGCTCAGGGTTTGTTCTCTGGGCCGCTGCTCTTATTTCAGGATACTGATCGTGCTAACATATTTTTGCAGAACACGCCATACTAGCTAAGGAAGTTAGTGGGTTGGAGACAATGCGTACTTCGCTTGCTGCAGAGTTTGCGGAGCTCCAACGCCGTCTGTCATTGGAGCAGCAGGCCAAGTCTTTATTTGGGCGTGTACTGCAAGCTATTTCCTACGGCTTCTCTGTTTATTGCGTCTACAGGATCATTGCAACCTCCCTCGCCCATATCCCTCATTTACACCGAAACAAATCTTCCTTCTCGCAGAGTGATCCCATAAATAACGTCCTGGCAATCATCGCGAAGCACTGGGACCCACACCTCGATCGTGTTGCCTGGTCCCGCCAAATTGGATTCGCTCTCTCAGGAGTCATTATTGCCGGCTCGTTGAACTCTGCCATGACAACCTTCAATATGCTCACCCGTGCGGCGCCAGGAGTCATGGGTCATGCCGTCAAAGGCGAGAATCCGAACCTTGCACTCTTCGTATCTCAGATCAGCGCTGTCTACGTCCTTGCCTCCGCACTTTTACTCAGGAGCAATTTGCCCCCGCACATGAGTACTGTGATCAGCGAGGCGTTGGGCGCGCCCCTCGACCCTGCGTTCGTGGATAGGTGGTTTGATGCACTATTCCTTGGCGCGGCGGGCCTCACCTTGGTTGGGATGATTATCGGCAGAAAGAGTGGGTGGTGGGGAGGTGCGGGTAAGCATGATCCATTCTGTGATGAGATGGAGCAATTGGAGGCGGGGAAGAGGAATTGATTGATTAATTGATTGATTGTTGATTGTTGATTGATGTGTTTTTTTTACATGTTTGACAATCGGCGGGTCTCCGCCTCTCCCCTTTTGTTGATCCACTATTGCTGGGTTTTTGTCATTATTCCTTGCTATTGTTACCATCGCTACAGGCGTTACTTGGATTTGGGTTTCTTGAACGGTTAATTTATTCATCCTCCTATGATATATTGTCAATTTTGTCTTCTTTTTTTGTTACTGGCCTTGCTTTCACTAGTCTTTTTTTTTTTTTTGCACTTTTATTCCCTCCATTTCTCCGGATCCCCGTTCGCACCCTTCTTTCACCCATTCTTCTACCCCACTTCCCTCTACTTCACCTTTCACAAGCTAGGTTGCAAGACCTCATATGTTACACTCTCATACTCCGCACCCCATAATGCTTCTCCCCCCTCCCTCTTACCTATTATTGCCTCTCACCCTAGCGGCGTCAGGCATGCAATCTCCCTCACTCAAAACAAAATTAAAAAATAGGGCACCAGTTCTATAGGCGTTATTACTTTGTCATCTCGCTTTCATAATACCATACCTGGTAGATATGTTTCCCCCCCCCAGGAATTAATCAGAATACATATCCTAAAGAACTATCCTATGAGATTGTTTGACTTGGATTTGTCGGTGCTCGTTATTGTAGAAGTTAACCGGTGGGTGACTTCCCGGTGGAATTTAGAAAATTTTGGAGCTTAGCAACCCCCCCCCCCGGAACGCAGACTACCCCCGCAGGAGCAGCGGCTTTCTGAGTGGTGGTATTATAATTGCGGTAAAGTGGAGTTGCTCGTGGGAGGCCTGATAAGTGCAACTTGCGGCAAGAGGTGGGGTTTCGCAGAATCATATCCTCCAGTATGGTGGAAAACGTATATATCACTCGCGTAGTGCGGTTTCTGGGAGCGGTTATGAGGCATTACATTTTGAAACAGCATTGGTAGGGGCTACCGGGACTTCGCACCATCATTAGGATTTTTGCATCGTCGGTATGGCATATTGGCTTATGCGGGTTTAGACACTTATGCCTCCCGAGAGTTCTTACGGCGGCTGTGGCCCAGGTCTGGTTTTGGTGGGGGTTTACAGAGTAGGCGGAAGCTGGACTTAATGGATATTCATGGGGTATGGAGGGGTTTCCCTTGCTTTCCGGGAGTGTGCTTTTCCAGTATAATTATAACTGTGCTTTCTGGTATACGTGTTTTTTGTTCTTTTCACCTCAGCTGGCGCCGGAACTTGTTGCAGCAGAAGCTTGGATACCGGGTTTTTGGGAAGTATCATACTGTTCCTGGTCTAGGACTTGACTATGATAGCTCTAAGATTTTTGCAGGGTTAGGTCTTTGCAATCTCTTGCGGTGGAGGGAGGAGAGGGGCTCTCGGAACCACTTTACTCGAGTACTCTAATCTAGACCTCTATGTCGCCGTGATAGAGCACCTATTAATAACTTTGAACACTTTTTTTTTTTTCAATCTCTGTGTTCAGAGAATCACTTTTAATCTAGGCAACCAAGCTCAAGCGTTGAATAAGTGCACACAAACGGCGCAGAACCCCCCCCAGAACACGTATTTCCAGATCTCTATGTAAGTCAATCCCGATCCAGGCAGACATCACACAACCCCCCTCCCCCTACCAACTCGAAGTTCATTTCTACCGGGGAAACTGCCCCCACACCAGCTCCCGGTGACGGATCTTGGTTGCCGATCTTGCACGTTTCACCTTGTATTCAGTCCGGCGAGTTTAAGCGTGGTCACTTACCTGTACGAGTTCTCTCATCCTGCGCTTACCCGCCCGACACGGGTACTGTACCTGTATGATTACAGCATACTCGAGTACAGTACTCGTACCATACTGAAACACCTTTCCTACACTGCTTCTTTAAAGTGGCCGGGTGCAAGTTCTCCTTTTACAAATGCGCACCACGGTACGGCATTTGCTACCCGGGCCAGGCTATCTCGTGTTCCACTGTTGTTTGAGCCAAAAGCTTAGCATGTACGACTATCGTATTGTACAGCACTCGAGCACAGTACAGTACCCGCGCAGCCACGCACAGGGAGCCTCGGGTGTTATTGCCGTGGGTGATATTTTGTGAACGTGATTGTTGGAAAGGTGGGTTTCGATTGTTTGAGGGAGGTTACCTAGATGGCTCTATGATAGCTATGATAACTTTGGTGCCTGGCTGAAGGGTTACGTACATTACGGCGTAGTCCAGCGCAGGATGATGATGGCGAGGCAAGGCTGGAGGTGGATTGACACTTCTCACCCCAGATGGTTTCCTCCCCATGTACAGTACTTGTAGCTTATGGCACATAAGTGGTATGTATGTATCATATGTTTACCAATTTTCCGTCAAAGAGCGGGAGTAAGATATCCTACTGTATACGGTAGTCCCCCCCCCGTTACAAGAGTGTTTTGAAACCCAGAACTTGGTTTTTTTTTCCTTTTTTTTCTTTTCCGGTTCTCCGTTTGGGTTACCTGGTGCGAATGAGTCAGTGGAACCCTTCTGTTTGTGCATTTTCGAGGATGCAGAATCTCTCCAACCCACACAACCAACCAAGCCTTTTTACATAAGCTGGGCATTGTGGTGGACAGTAATATGCAGTGCATGCGTCCGGAATAATTAAATATAAGAGCACCGGTGCTACGCATTTTACGTGCTTAGGGCTGAAATGGTAAGGCGATCCGGTGATACTGGGAGGGAGGTTAGTTTCTGCAAAAAACGGTGTATTCCCCCCGGGTTGGGGCAGGGGCGAGGTATGATAGTACTGTACCGCTGTGGATGATAGAACTATGATATTGTGCTGATGCAGAGCCCCCCCCAGCCGTTGCCATTCCTATTAACTTACCATATATCATGACTCACGAGTTCTCCTACCCAGCCTCTTTTCATGATTGTCAGTCCTGTACGGTACATCGGATGTCTTTGCCGAATGATAACTCGTGAATGAACCTAGGCTGTAACTTTTTAGTAGAGAGTTATTGTGAAATTGTGCCGTTGAAGCTTGCATGTGATGCTTGGTTTTTTTCTTTCTTCTTCTTCCCCGTCTGCTTGCTTGCCACTCTAGCGGCAGGTTGGTCTTACTCACCCAGCCCCTCGGTCTGTTACACCGAGAATAACAAGGCGGTGTTTCTTTCTGGATGGTGTGGTACAAGTGCTCGTACAGCGCTGCTATCGTCGCTTTAGTGGTCAATAGGGGTGCTGATATGATCGTGGCACGCAACAACGTTAGCTTTGTATCATCGTTGCTTTTTTTCTCTCATGAATTACGGCAATGGGCGGGGGGTCGGGGGGGGTCCTCCGACACGCTCGATTCTGGGTCACACGGGGCACAAGCACAGAGGTTTAATCCATGTAAATGTAGTGGCTTTTATTCTCTTAAACATGAAAGTATCGAATGATGTTCTTGGAAATTCCCCTTTCTTTTCTGGTTGGGGGGTTAGCCTTGTGATGGTAGGGAATCAGAGCTGCCACCCTGTGTGCCCCACACCGGGGGGAAGAGATACAACTTAACTTACCATAAATGATGAGTTTGGAGGCTTATGATATACCGTACCCCTTGCACGTCCTATCGTGACTCCGTCGGAGTTGCCTGTCGAATGATACTTTGTGAATGGCTCTGAAATTTAAGCCCTCTCCTAGGCTCCCTTGCAACCTCCCCCCCGAGGAAGTTTTGAATCAATTGTTTACGTTGTTTTCTGCCTTGAGTGTGTTCCTGGGCTGATTGGGCTAAATAGCGTTATACAGCTCCCTAAGAGTAAGTAAGTGCCGTACCGTAAGATACCTGGTGGAAATTACGGGGCTTGTGCTGTATAAGCACACTTACACCTCCGACCCCCCCCCCCGGCACCGCGCTTCGCAAGCCCCACTAATCACATTTCCTCCCGATTGATACTCTATGAATGTCTCTAATCTTTAGGACATTGTTTTCCCCCTTCCTCACTCCCAATCGTTGTCCTGGTTCCATCTTGGTATCCGCGCTTCCACATCCGAGTATAGTACTTATAGCGGATCGAGGTGAATCGTACGTAAGGCTTTACCTTATCTTTAGGGCGGTATCCCGGAACGATGTGCTTAGTTCGTGCGTGGTTTTGCTATCGGCTGGTCGCTGACCTCGTGCCCAGGCCGCCGATATCCGAGAGCTGCCTAGGAGTGCTTATGAGAGCTCAGAATCGCCGTTTTGTCCGAGTTATCTGACGGGGCTAAAAAAGTTCCTTGGGGGCGGGACCATGTGCCACTTGGAACTATTACAGTTTTGTTATCCGGCTCGACCCGGCGGCGTAAGGACACCGTGACTTTGCCATCTTTCAAACAGACAATTCCCTGCACTACCTTCATGAAAACACTTTAAATATTTCCACCAGCTGGATAGCTACTCTGTGTTTAAACCAAGGAAAGCAGAACTGCAAGGGATTGAAATTGTGTCCATAGTTTGCAATTGTGTTGACCGCTCTGAAAGTGACCCAAATTTTTGTAATGGGGTGCCATACAAAAAAGTACATGGCGATCAAAATACCAGTACCTCAGACTTAAACAACACTCCCTCCACTTTATTACTATAATTGAAAATTCTGTAATTTCCTCCATGTTGTCAATAGGCTTACTGATGCACTGCGAATTTCGGCAAATTCCCACCAGCATTGGGCTGTGGGGGAGAGTGGTGAAGGTTGATACTTTTGGTGTAAAAAGGGCAAACCGCGAAACGTTTTGTCCTATGATATGATATGCCTATGGCGCTCGCTCGCTGCTTGTATCCAGCAGTGGTCTTCGAGTCTCGAAAGATCTCCTCCGCAGGATTGGGCAATTACATTGACTAGATGTCTGCTCCACAGAATCTAAGCTGTTATGCAATTCACAGTTATTCACTGTAACTCGTAATTATAGAACTCTAACGCTATCGGCTGAGGGAGCTCGATAGGTAACTTATCCTGTTCCTCCTACGATATTATTGTACTATACCTGAACCCGGTAATTCGATTACAAGAAATCCAATCCTAATGGTCAACCGGGGGATATGATCCATGATTTTGAAGTTCAAATCTGGAAGAGAATGGTATGTGGGAAGGAATTGCCTGTACTTTAGAAATGATCCATTAGAGAGCGGCTGCCAGAAATGAATTGTCCCCCCCCGCACACACGCGCGAGATGCGGTCAAAGAGATCGTGCTTTATCCATTTACCAAAACATAGGTAGGGGAGAAAAGGAAGGGGGATGAGCGAACACTCGCACATATACCTCTTCAACATGGCGAATGTCATGACCTTTGTCCAGAGATCCACTCGGTAGCAATCTGCCTCGGGTGAGTGGGTCTAGACGTGGAAACAATCCCGATTCCTCATGTACTCGAATAGTGTGGAGAGGTGAAGGGGGCAACACTCAATATCTATCACCATTCCAGTTCACTATCATGTTCCATTTGACGCCATCGCCCCTGAGCGGGATCATTATCTACTTGTATCTGCCAGTGACGGAATGCTTTAAGAAAAAGTGTGTGATTGCGCCCACAGAAGGCCTTCCCTAATGGGTAGCTGCGCTGTTAAATAGTGTGACTTTGATTTGGTAGAGTATTGCATGGAACTCTGAGATTGAGTGAAATAGCTAGTAGAATTAGGGGTCTACATATCATAAGTATCATATCAATGTAATTTTACAAATACCCTCCTGCCATGCTTGGGTCTGGAAGAGAATTGCGAAGGTCGTGCAGCATTTTTCTAAGTTGATCGTTAAATTATCACCACTGCAATGTGATATCAGAGGGTTGGTTGATAGGATAGAAATGTGTGGTATGAGACCAGTGCGATAAACCAAATCTTCCACGGGAGCTAGTCTAGCCCCAGCGCGGCTCCACCAGCTTGGACTAGCAACTCGACTCCACCTTTGTTGCTTGTTTCAACCACACTCACTACAACCCATCCACCACCTACTTACGGGGATCATCTCCTCTCACCTCACAAGTAACTAATTCGCCCGAATTCTACACTAAGAATACCTACAGCCTAAACAGCCTCATACTCATAATGAGTTCCAATCAACTTCTCCTCTCCCTCAAATCCTGGCCGGAAGACGACCCAGAGTTGAAGTCGGTCTCTTCGCTAATTACCCGAATACAAGCTCAACGCGGGCACTTCCGAGACGTCGACGAGAGCATTCTAGAAAATGAGATAAGGGAGGGAAAGGACACCGACCCACTATTCGATGATTCTCCAGTAGAGGAGAGTGGGGGGGGCGCTAGCAATTCTGCCCTAGCAGCGGGAGAGGAGCCCGATAGGGCGACACAGCTGAAGAACGCAAAAGCGGAGATTGTAGCATTGGTTGGGTATAGGCTGCGCTTAGTTGTTTTCTTTTACTGGTGGTTGCTAACTGGATGAGATGCGGGAGGATAGACACGCACTAAACGAAGCTCTCTTCGGCCTCGACTACGTTTCCCTCTTGGTGTCACTGCAGAATCCCGAAGCCGGCTCTTCAAGCATGTCCCCGGAACTCAAGAAATCCGTACCAGTCGGAAGTCTCGGTTTCGATAAAGTCCAGCGCAGGGCAGATCCTGGGTCCGTTAAAGAAGACCTAGCCATATCCCACGCATGGAAGGTCGAAGGTCTGAATTCCGCCGCTGATACACTAATGGGCGCCTCCAAAAAGCTCGGCGATGATGTGAGGAAGGAAGCACGATACTGGGAGCAGATATTGGCCATCCGAGAAGATGGTTGGGTGGTGACACGGATGCCTAATGAGCGAAGAACACTAGGTGTGAGGTTCGGATTCGCGGAGTCGGCAGCGGAGTACAAAAACAAGGGTGTGGGGGCGCTGAGACGTGGGGAAGATGGCGATGTTGTCATGGACGACGTAGCTACTACCGGCTCACACGGCAAGGCTATGCTCCGGGTTCGTGTTCTCGAGAACGGGGAAGTGAAGGGATCCAGTGTACAGAGTGGGAATAAGTGCTCGGGGTCAGTTAAGGATATGATTCAACGGGCTAGGAACTTTATCTATGAGGATGAGCTCTTCTTTGAGATCACAAGGGAAGCTAGGCTCATGGCGAACTATGGTGTACGAACAAGTGAGGATGCGGTTACGATTGATCTAGGGGGGGGTAGGAGTATAGTAATTGATATGGTGAGGATTTTCCGTTTTTTTGTATGCACTCGGATTTCCAGAGCTAACGGCCTAGCAGGCACCTTTGGATGATGGCGATATTGTTCTGGATATACACAATCCTGACAGTAATCTCGCACAGGGGGTTGTCACGGCATTCCGTATCCTCCTGTCATACAATCACAGGATGAGCCTAAGGAAACGCAGCAAGCCGCCACCACCTCTAACGCAGCGTAAAATAGTCCCTCCTGCTCTCCGTATGGTTGCACCGATCACCACACACCTCTTACATCACCAACATCAGTTGAATCTACAAAATCTACTCAGACACCTAATCAAAGTTGTCAAATCTGCCGGAATGAGCACAGCATTTGTGACAAAACCCCGCCACAATTGCCTCAAGCCCGTAATCAAAAACGTAGAAACCGCGGTGGAGGCCTTCCTGGAAAGGATCGAGAGCGAGGCTACGGTAAAGCTCCCTGGTGGCTGGAAAGTCGAGATCAATATGAAGACTGCCCTTGGGCCCCCACTTTACGGCACTGCATACATCATTGGTACATCCCACGACGGAGTCTCAGCGCGGCTGATGGGCGAAAATAGATTTACCTCGTCCAAGGAGATGGAGATGTACCTTTTCTGGTGTCTGGAGCGGAGTATCGTCAATGAGGTTAGGTACACGAATGATAAATGGGAACAGATAGCACAATCTAACGAGATGTGGTCCATCGATAAATCTACTCGGCGGATAAGAATTTCCGTGGACAGGACTGGGTTATCAATTGTCACTGGAACTACTGGCGGGAAGGATGATAGGGTGGTGTGGGATGGGAGCGATACGGGCAGAACCTTACAGGATTTGTTAAACCATCCTGTAGGATAGGAGAGGGATGGGCTGGGGGAAAATTGTTCCTTGATATGTATGCTTTGTATATTTATACATATACCAATAAACGCTGCCGGAGATGGATGCCTAGGATGTATATTCCTGTTTTTCAGAGTAATGATTATTCTCCTCTGGCGAGACGTTCCATTTCCAACTCTTCCTCCGCAGCACGGAAGTACTTGGTTGTATCCACACCGTGCTAATTCCCGAAAATCAGATACCTCCATTTTCCATGATCGACCAAAACTCACCTGGTTGTGATTAACAAGGTTAAACCACGGTAGGACATGGAAGAATATCTGGGAGTAACGCGAGTTACGGGCAGCGACTCCCTGCATATGTGCATCAAGCATAGAAACTCCATATAAGGGCTCCTTGTTCTTGACCTTCTGAACCATCTCTCTCATGTCCATCTCTACCTCCCGCTCGTTTTCCGACCATCCCCAGAATCGCACTGTAAATACCAGCCATCAGTCTTCCGCAACCTCCCTCTCTTGCCATTGGCATACACATAGTCAGCAAGGCTTACATGAGGATCGCTTGTAGTATCGTAGAAACCCCGCGGTAACACCGATAGCCGCAACAAGACGCAAACTCTGTGCCATGGCAGCTCTGGGCAAGAGCGATGGATGTGCTCTGTCCATCGCCAGAAAGAGAATTGGACCTGCCACGGCTGTTCCCGCGCCAACCGCATAATCAGATGGACGGGCGTAACGAAGCACGCGGAAGAAGTGTCTGCAATTCGATATCAGTTTTTACGCTTATCGGTTGGTTTCGGCAGGGTTAACATTTGGGGGGATAGAGATCTTACGGGTCGGTGTCGATAACCTAATTTCACCATTGGTTACTACGACTTGTGTCTTCAATTCTTGGGGGAAGGACGTACCGGAAAATCGGTATGAACGGTCTTTGGCGGAACAACGTCCATAGTGGTTTGCACAAGTGGGGAATTTGAAGGTTTACTTGGTCGTTTATGTTGTGGAGGTGTAATGGTGAAACGAATGGTGAGTTGAGCCGAGGCGCTAGTCTACTTTGGAATGACTTCAGTATGCATGGTACCGTGGTTGGGGGAATTTTCAGGGCTGGGACAATTTGTCGCCCCAAACGCGTCTTGCGTTCTCCATTACCTTTGTCTCGCGTGGGCGAAGTTTTGGTTGCGCGTTCCCAATACTTTCATGAATTTTATAACGAACAAACAAACAACACTGCGCAACATGCCGGGAGACTCTTCTAACACTGCGGGTGAGAACTACATGGATGACGATTTGTTCGAATATGATGCGGATATTCCGGATATCGACACGACTATCAGACAGCCCACCCCTGAGAAGAAGGATGGGACCAAGGACAATCTAGGACTTGAGGAAGAAGTCAAGATCAGGAAAAAGCGGATCAATGTCAAACTGGATGAGGCAAGGTGTGGAGTGGAACGGGAAGCAGGAGTTCTGCGATTGTTGGCTAACAAGTTTTCATAGGCTCTTGAGAGAAGACATTGGGATTCCCAAACTCAGAAGGGAGGCTCACAAGAAACTCAGGTTCAAGGGGAAAGGCTATGAAGTAATCAATACTCAACTGCTGCTTTTTAACTGTTTGCTAACGTAAAAACTTCTAGTACCGAGATGCCGCGAGACTACTTTCCTACTACCAACTCTGGGCCGACGACCTCTACAAAAAAGCCAAATTCCGAGATACCCTTCAGATCATCGAGAAGCTCGGTCACTCTCGGAGAATGAAAATGGAGAGGGAAGCCTGGGTTATGGATAGTAAGAAAAAGACAAGTGGCGATACAGAAGAAAAGAGTTTGGATCAAGGCTTGGATGAAGGGAGGCCAGGAACCAGCACTACACCAGGGGTTCAAGGCGATGAAGTTCCACCCAACGATGATGACCTATACTCAAGACCGACAGGTGCGGTTGCTCCTACTACAGGCAATGATGGAGCTTTGTTCCTAGGTGGAGTCCCTAGTGATTCCGAGGAGGAAAACTTTGGGCCCAGTGACGATGACCTAGATGCATTGATGGATGAAATGGCTGCCGCGGGTGCTGCAGGTGTCCCTGCTATAGGCACAACTACTGTAGCAGCTAGTTTGATTGATAAAGGGAAGGATCTTCCTAAAGTCACCCCTATTGCCCCTCCAATCGACGAATTCGCAGACGAAATGGAAGCTATGGCAGAGTTGGAGGGCGATTGGTAGCTAACCCGGTTCTTGCTTGCTACTGTACACAATGTTATATATACCTTATAATAATAAAGCCCTGCACTGTGGAATATTAAGGCTCCGCTCGGCGCGTGCCAATAAAAATATATTGCGATATTTTCGGTACGTTCCGAACAGAGCCCAAATGGTGTAGAGAGTTGAGACTCATGCCCAGATATGGTTCCGGACATATAAAGCTTGCCTCAAGGTATCATAATGATAAAAGAGCGAAAGACATGAATGGCAACAACGCCGGACTATTGTAATAAAAAACAAAAGAGCATTGAAATAACGAGGAAGCGAGCAAGAAAAAACCCATGAATGTAGTTAGGTTCAAGGGGGACGTGAACAGTAGATGGAAAGTAGTGAAGTTATTTTCGGATGAGAGAAAAAAGGTGAACAGCCGGGATTGCCCAGGTTGGGAATCGAGTGAGTATCCGTGATGGGACCCAAGATATCTGTCACAGGACACCCTTTTTATTGCAGAAAAAGCTCGGTTCAAACCCGCCAAAAAAAATTGTAGGTTTTGGATGTCCAGAACTATGTGTTAGTTTTTGTACTCGTGCAGTATCATACACGGCGCAGTGATCCAGCAACTGTTCTGTTTGGCTCCTTATCGATAAGACACGTGACTTTAGTAGCTTATTACATTGACCACCCCGCCTTAAAATTAAGTCGCTTTTGTCGTCACAACCTACTATTTACTTACCACCCAACCGGTTCATTCCCAATACGATAGAAAAACGTCTTTAGTATATTAAAGGCCAGTAGCGCTTCTACAATGGCCTCTTCTGAGAGCCTCGCGGATGCCATTAACCAGCTGTCCCTAGTTGATTTCGACAAGTCTGATGGATGGATCGAGGATATACTAAACCAACAACTGCCCCGTAAACGGGTTAAGCCTGATCAATCTCAGCTTCGAGAGCAGCTTCAACAGGAGTTTCTTACACCCTCTCCGGTGTTTTCCACCGAGTGGCTAAATAAGCTTCAGAAGTATGTATTCCGGGCCTAAATTTTGAGCCAAACCTTACTCTGATTGTTTGCAGACGATGGGACGACCCACCCGACTACGTTTCCCTTATGGGCCTCGCCCCTTCGATGTCTCGTACTGTTATCCGGTTCACCCGCGAGGGTCTCGAAGGTCGTGTCACTGGCTACAAGGAGGTTACGGTTCCTGCTCACTCAATTACTGCAAAGAACTCCACCTCGCTATTAAGAAAACCTGCTTCAAAGGCAGATTTCGTAAGAGGCAAGGCAGGTTTTTTTCCATTTAGTCCCGGCGGAGTCGATATCGGAGCTGCGAACGAAAGACCCGAGGAGTTGGAGCTCCAGGAGGCCCTGATGGAGGAAAAGATCGGCAAGAATGGACTACTGAGGGTTGCGCCGGGTATGGCGCGCGGGCTGATATTTGATGAAGCTCCGGACGAAAATTCGGTTGAAGAAGAGGCTGGCGATGATGGTTTTAAGTTTGGGGATGTGGAGCCTAAGAGGAGGCGAAGAGGAGAGGCCGATGATGGCGATGGGATGAAGGCTGATAAGCCTCTTGCGGAGTTGGATACTATTGACGATTTACTACCCATTGAGGTGAGCTGCTGCGTTATTCGTTTGAATATTGAAGTACTGATAGATTGTAGTTTCCTATGTTGGTACCAAAAGGAAATTTGCCTTCGTCATTGAGGCCAAAGGCGAAGGAGTGGGCTCACATGGTTGATGTCAACCAAGAAATTACCAATTTCCGTGAATTGGTCCCCAACTTGGCGAAGGAAGTAGGTAACTCGGACAGTAATTTGAGCAGCTTTAGGCTAATAGCTTATATAGTGGCCATTCGAATTAGATACTTTTCAGAAGGAAGCTGTTTATCATTTGGAAAATGGTGATTCGGTCTTTGTGGCTGCGCACACTTCCGCTGGGAAGACTGTGGTTGCTGAGTATGCAATTGCACTTGCTACGAAGCATATGACCAAGTAAGTTGATAGCCACGAATCACAAAAAGGTTGGTGCTTATAAAAGCCCAGAGCAATTTATACATCGCCGATCAAAGCTTTGAGCAATCAAAAGTTTCGAGATTTTCGTCATGTTTTTGAAGATGTGGGCATTTTGACTGGAGACGTGCAGATAAATCCGGAGGCCAGCTGCTTAATTATGACGACAGAAATTTTGAGGAGCATGCTTTACAGGGGAGCCGATCTGATTCGTGATGTTGAATTTGTTATTTTTGACGAGGTTCATTATGTCAATAATCAAGAGGTGAGTAAGAGCGTTTGTTTACTTATAGATCGGTGTTAACTTTGCAATGATAGAGAGGTGTCGTATGGGAAGAGGTTATTATCATGCTTCCTGAACATGTCAACCTGATTCTCTTATCGGCAACTGTACCCAACCCTTACGAATTTGCCAGTTGGGTGGGACGCACAAAGAAAAAAGATATTTATGTAATCTCAACGCCTAAGAGGCCAGTACCACTGGAGCATTTTATATGGGCGAATAAGGCTATGTATAAGATTGTCAATTCAGAAAAAAAGTTTCTTGAGGAAGGGCTGAAAGATGCAAACAACGCACTTAGGAAGAAGGAACCCGACAGGCCACAACAGGGTGGAAGCCAACGCGGTGGTGCCCGGAATCAGCGTGGGGGTCGTGGTGGACCCCAGAGAGAAGGCGGGCGTGGTAGTCAACGAGGTGGACAGAGCACTGCGGGTTTTTCAAGAAGCGGCAGAGGTGGTATGAGGACAACTACTGCGCAAGACAAGAATATTTGGGTTCACCTTGTGCATCATCTGAAAAAAGAGACCTTGCTTCCCGCGGTTATATTCGTCTTCTCTAAAAAGAGGTGTGAGGAGAATGTTGATGCCTTGAGCGCTGTTGATTTCTCCAACCAAACAGAGAAGAGTGCGATTCACATGATAATTGAGAAGAGCGTCGCAAGGTTAAAGCCTGAAGACAGGTTGTTGCCACAGATACTGAGAATGCGAGAGCTTCTGGGTAGGGGATTGGCTGTGCATCACGGCGGACTTTTGCCAATTGTTAAGGAAATTGTCGAGATCCTATTTGCGAAAACATTGGTTAAGGTTCTGTTTGCAACCGAGACGTTCGCAATGGGTCTTAATCTACCTACTCGTACCGTGGTGTTCTCTGGATATCGAAAGCATGATGGAAAGTCATTCCGTGATCTTCACCCAGATGAGTATATTCAAATGGCTGGCCGGGCTGGGCGCAGGGGTCTTGATGAACGGGGAATTGTAATCATTATTTCACCTATGGATGAGGCACCTCCGGTAAGACTTTATGGTGAATCTTGTTCTGGGGTCGAAGCTGACAAATCCAGGCCGCTACTTTAAAGCATATGCTTCTTGGGCAACCTACAAGGCTACAGAGCCAGTTTCGCTTGACGTATAATATGATACTGAACCTTTTCCGCGTAGAAGCTCTGAAAATTGAAGAGATGATAAAACGGAGTTTTAGCGAAAACACGTCACAAACCCTTCTACCAAAACATGAACAAAAGGTACAAGAATCGCAAGAGAAACTAAAGAAGTTGCAGAGTGAGGATTGCGAAACGTGCAATCTAGATATCGACGCCTTTGTCCTGGCCGCTGAGGAATTAAAAGAAGTCTCAAAAGAAATAATCATAGGTGGTTCGAGGACCACAACAGGGAAAAAATATCTCACAAAAGGGCGTTTAGTTGTCATTGGTAAAAAGGTTTGTTCCAGCTACTGGTGGTTGTCCTACACCGTACTCAGTGTCTTCTTCTAGGGCGACCATAGGACTATTGGATTCTTGGCAACTGAAGGTGCCTCAGGTGGTGCACAGGCCGTTGTGCAGGTTTTGGCACTTGCGTCTAAGGATGCTGTAAAGTCTCCAGGTAGGTATGTTCAACCCTAGATAACGTTTTTTAGTACTAACATATTTCTATTCAGTTGACAACTTACCTTTCACTGTTGCTTGCTCGATGGGTTTCCCGGCACCGCCATACGAAGAATGGAAGCTTCGGTTGGAAACCATCCATATATACGAGATAGAGTATCTGGGATCAATGGTCACCAGACTCGACATTGCGAGAGCACGCCAGGGTTCCCGTGAGGAAGTTCGAGCCATTGAGGGGGAACTGAAAGCTTTATTCGGGAACTGGAATGACTCCGAATGGACGGAAGTTGACTGGTCGAGGGTTAAGGATCTTACGACACTGGAATACTTGGAGTACCGCAGAACAAAAGAGAGGGAGATAGATCGCTTCAGGTGCCTTGGGTGTGACAACTTCGCCGCACACGTAAGCTACCGGGCTACTTTGTCCTCTGCACTACAGCTTAAGCTAATCCATAACCTTAGTTTCACTCAAGCTACAAAAAGTACTTGCTGGAGTTGGAAGTTGCAAACTTAAAACACCTGATATCAGACCAAAATCTACAGCTTTTGCCAGACTATGAGCAGCGTGTGTCGGTATTAAAAGATTTGGACTTTATCGACGAAAATATGAATGTGCAACTAAAGGGAAGGGTGGCCTGTGAAGTAATCTCAATACTATCTACTTTTTTTTTTTTGACGAAATGATAGCTTACCGTTTAATAGATCAATTCAGCCAACGAGCTGGTACTGACGGAGTTGATCTTGGAAAACGTTCTTGCAGAATACGAACCCGAGGAGATTGTGGCCCTGCTTTCCGCATTTATATTTAGTGAGAAAACTGATGTTGTACCAACCATCACTTCTCGGTTGGAGAAAGGTAAGGCAAAGATCATCGAGATTTCTAGGAGGGTCAATAGGGTCCAGATAGAACGTCAGATCATAATGGCTCCTGAGAATGACGATTTCGAGAGCAGGCCACGGTTTGGTCTAATGGAGGTCGTTTACGAGTGGGCAAAGGGGATGTCTTTCAGCCAAATAACAGATCTAACCGACGTTTTGGAGGGAACGATTGTGAGAGCTATCACTAGGTTGGATGAGACGTGCCGTGAGGTCAAAGGTGCCGCCAGGATTATCGGAGACCCATCTCTCTTTGCTAAAATGCAGGAGTGCCAGGAGTTGATCAAGAGGGATGTCTGCCACTGTGCCTCTTTGTATTTGGTCAGTAACTGCTGTTTCCTATTCTTAGATCTTTCTCGTTCCAAAAATGGGCGATGATATTCGCGGGGCAGAGCTAACTATTTCTACTTTTTAGTAACCCCCAATCAGGGGAACGGTCTTTAAAAGGGTGTTGATATTCTTTGCTAAAAGCGTGTTAGATTATCACATGTGTATCTTACTCGCACTCAAATTAGCTTAACAGTAGAATATATATACCTTGGACTTGTAGGATATTGTGGTTGCCGCACCAGAATCGTCTTGATATTTGTGGTTTGTACGGCGCCATGAAGCTTGTCTCACATCCAAATATTGTGTAGGGATACTCGTGCAGTATGGTTCAAGTACTCGAGTACACTATGCTATGCTATACATAACGGATTGATACGGGACGAATGGGTCCCGAACTAACCTAGTTGACGGCATACTGCGCTACGGTGCAGTACCAGTACAGTACAGTACTCGTACACCTCAGATCTGACAACAACTGAGGTGCAGGTACCGGTATCTTAAGTCTTGGGAAGCATCATAAGATAACACCTGGGGTAAAGGCTTGGGGGGGCCCCTTAGTCCGGGAGGTCTAACCGAGGTGAGTAATTCTGTAGATAATAGCTTTAAAAAAGAAGCTCGGCAAGATACGCAAGGCATTGCTATCTCAACCAAGAACCGTGCGCTCTTATATTGACAGGTGCGATGGCTTACTCAGAAAGTTATATTTTCGAAAGACTTTCGACGTGGCGAATTAAGTTCTACCATGGCATTCCTGCATATATTTCCGCCGTGCCTCATTTGTCTTGTGGGAGGGGGTTTGAACCTTCACACACCGGTATTCTTACTTGGACTGTGGGGTGTGAATGGGAGGCAGGATTAGATTTCTATTAACTACTTCCTGAACAGTACGAGAAAATTGGCCCCGAAGCGTACGGCGTGTACCGGTATTGTGGCAGTGCGGTATCGCACTCGAACACTTGCATAGTGCTGCACCGTGTGATAATTCGTGCATTTTTATAGGTGGCATGAAAGCCCTGTTGGAGGAATCTGCCGAGAATATCGGGGATTCTTGTGGTTCCCGTAGGGGAGGCTCTTCCATTGATTTTTCCCTCTTGTGGCCTTGTCCTTTTTCTTCTTTCCATTTCTTTTTTCCTTTTTCCGTTTCCCCCCCCCTTTTGTCTCCTTTCCTCCCCATATCGGTATCTCATGATAACTCAGGTCTGCCACAAGTATGATATGATAGACTAGGACACGAGTAGTCTAGTCTACCCCGCGAAAAGTCAAAAAAGCGCCCGAGATGATGAGATAGGGAGGGAGGGAGGGAGGGACCGCCTCAAAAAAAATAAAAAAAATAATAGCTATTTCCATATCCCGACAACAAGAGAAAGACATCAGCTGAGAGGGTTTACCCCTAGAGCCTTGATTAAAAGCAAGGAACCGGACCTATATAAGTGGGGTCTACCTTTGGCGTTTTGTGTCGGGTGTCGGTACCGGAGCCAGTATGGTTATTAGTGATGTCAATGGGACATTGGTTATAAGTACTAAGGTATAATACTTTAGGTGTTGGAGATGTCGAGGTTGGGCTGCACAACACGGGATTGTTGGGATTTAGATGCCGTCGGTAGAACAAGGGAAGGTCGTACCCTGGAGGGGAAAGCAGAAGAATATTTGGGGAGGTGGGAGGGGATGAGTGAGTAGAGGGATGGCAAATGAAATTGGGCTGGCAAAGTGATTGGGAGAGATAAAGAGGGAAGGTTGATTTTCTTCTTTTTCCTTCTTTCTTTCTTTCTTTCCTTCTCTTGCTTTCCCCTTCCACTGGGAAGGAAGTATCATAGCCTGGACTTGGTCGATGGTGCTGTACGGTACACCACATTTATTGCATCTACAGATATAAGCACAGGTATGCGAAGCAGAGTAGTTAGAAGTACATGATGTAGACATCAGTGCGGATGCCTTAGTCCTCTGGAAAGACCCTTAAGATGGTCTCGAAAAGTCATGTTTTGACCGTTGAAATTCCTTCCAAGACCTCCCTCGCCTTGAACCTCCAGAAAAAAAAAAAATTTAAATTAGTTCACCGTCTAAAAACAGTGCACCACACCCAACCCTAAAACTCAGCCAACTAATCCCTAGGACTTCTGTGGGATTTTTGCCCGTGAAGGAAAAAGGAGATACCCTTCAATCCTTCAGTTCTCTCTCGATAGATAACCCTCTTTTATTTTGTGCCTTTTTTACTTTTTCTTTTTTACTTTTTTTTCCTTCCCTGTGTTGCTCCCTTGACTTTTCTGGGTGCCCCTCTGCTTTCCCTCTTCTGCCCCTCTCAACACCCCCGCGCTCACGTTTTTTCAGCAACCTTCCCCCGTCCTGCGCTCTTCAAACCTTTCCCAGTCTCTTGTCTCTTCTTCAGCGTTCACATATTCTGCCCCCATTATCGGTATTTCAAAAGGCCAATTTGCACAGACACAGCGGGAATCACCCAAAACGGAAACGATGGATGTTTCAGCCCTTCGTGAGTGCACTCTGTCAGCGCTCGACGCGAACGCGGACATTCGACGACAGGCTGAGATACAACTGAAACAGGTACGAGAATTCGCTACCATACTCCAAAGACTCTACTAGTTGCTGGTTGGGTTGCTTTTCTTGCCTGTCTGTTTTGCTAGCTGACCTTTGGTTTTTTTGCCCTTGTAGGCGGAATCATCCCCTGGGTTTATCGGTGCACTGTTGGATATCGTAGCGTCGGACCCTGAGCTACAAGTTCGCCTTTCCGGTACCGTTTTCCCCCACAGAGTCCTAAATTTTTCTAGAGGAAAGCAAATATAATGTTTTTGATCTTGATTCCTCCTATGGGGAGAAAAATGAAATGCTGTTCCCGATGTTCTGACCTAACCTGGTGCTCTCCCAACAGCTGTGCTATACCTTAAAAACAAAGTCGTCCGGTCATGGGAGTTTAATGAAGACTTTCCAAAGAATCCACAGATTCCCGAGAGGGAAAAGGCAGGATTTCGTGACCGTCTTGTCCCTACGCTCGCATCATCGGCGCCCCAAGTACGGCAGCAACTTATGCCTCTGATTGGGAAGGTTCTTCACTTCGACTTTCCCGAGAAGTGGCCCGGCTACATGGACATCACCCTTCAACTTCTGGGTTCGGGTGATATCGCGTCTGTCTTTGCCGGGGTACAATGTCTACTCTCCCTTTGTCGTGTTTACCGGTTTAAGCAGGCCAACGATAAACGGGAAGAGCTGGACCGTGTCACACAAGCCACATTCCCCACTCTCCTATCTCTCGGGAACAGATTGGTAGAGGAGACTAGCTCGGATGCGGGTGATATGCTCAAGATGATTATCAAAACCTACAAGCATGTTGTTTACGTGAGTTGTGGTTCCTGTGGGTGATGGGGCCAAGATATCTGACCTGTTGTGATTAGTTCGAACTAGCAGCTCATTTACGGGAGGAATCATCCATTGTGGCTTGGGCGACACTCTTCCTTAAGGTGGTTGGCAAGCAAGCACCACCGGAATCCATGCCAGATGATCTCGAAGAGAGAGAGATTCACCCGTGGTGGAAAGCGAAGAAGTGGGCATACTCAAATCTTAACCGATTATTTGTCAGGTATGTTTCTGGGATATTCCAATACCGTGGATGGGAGGATTAACCTCTTTCGATGCAGATACGGCAATCCTACCAGTCTGGCGGCGGCAAACTCTGGGGATTATGAGAAATTTTCCAAGCATTTTATCCATCACTTCGCCCCCGAGATTTTGAAGGTCTATCTGCAGCAGGTTGAATTGTGGGTTTCCAAACAGGCGTGGTTGAGCAAAATATGCCTGTCAAGTACAATCGCTTTCTTAGATGAGTGGTATGCTATGAGCTGTCCATGTTTTATCCCACTCCCTGGCGCGGAAGTGAGGCTAATTGCGGATCTGCACAGTATCAAACCATCCGCCACGTGGAAGCACCTAAATCCCCATATCGGAAACTTAATCTCGCATGTGTTGTTCCCCCTACTGTGCCAATCGGATGGAGACCTCGAAATGTTTGAATCCGACCCAGCAGAGTACTTGACTCGCAAAATCAACTTTTACGAAGAAATATCAGCGCCAGATGTTGCTGCCACCAATTTCTTGATTACTCTTAGCAAGTGTCGACGAAAACAGACTTTTACAGTTATCAACTTTATTAACGATGTTGTTAATCGGTAAGATTTATGAAACCGGAGGGTTGGACATGCTAACCCTGAGGTTAGGTATGAGGCAGCTCCGGATAATGAGAAGAACTATCGAGAGAAGGAAGGCGCTTTGAGAATGATAGGAACACTCTCTGCAATCATCCTTGGTAAGGGTAGTCCAATTGCGGACCAAGTCGAATATTTCTTTGTTCGTCATGTTTTCCCGGAGTTCCGAAGTCCGCACGGGTTCCTGCGGGCACGTGCTTGTGATGTACTTGAGAAATTTTCGGACCTTGATTTCAAGGATGAGAATGTAGGTTTCAATTTTCTGGGATCGTAGCTGTCTGCTGACAATTTCTTAGAATGTTGTCCTTGTCTATCAGAACATCTTACAATGCCTTGACGACTCCGAGCTTCCTGTTAGGGTGGAGGCTGCGTTAGCCTTACAGCCCCTGATCAGACATGATTTCATTAGGAAGTCTATGCAACAGAATATTGCGGATATTATGCAGAAATTGCTGAAGTTGGCCAATGAGGTCGATGTAGATGCCTTGTCAAACGTTATGGAAGAATTTGTTGAGGTATTTGCGTCGGAGTTGACACCGTTTGCTGTACAACTCACCGAGCAACTGGTGTGTTCCTCCAGATATCTTTTTTTACTTTGCGCAAGATCTCACAATAGTTTAGAGAGATACCTATCTCCGTATAGTCCAGGATGTTATTGATAAGGGTGCAAATTCACTTGATGATGATGCCGACAACTATCTAGATGACAAGAGCATTACAGCCTTGGGCGTTTTGCAGACAATTGGGACCCTTATTTTAACACTGGAAAGTAACCCTAGTGTTCTCCTACTCCTTGAGCAAATACTCGTCCCCGTTATTACCATCACCTTGGAACATAAATTATTTGGTGAGTACCCATAAGGAATTGCATCGGGTATATTACATTACTCATTGCTAATTTGGGTAGATTTATATAATGAGGTGTTCGAAATCATTGACAGCTGTACCTTCGCTGCTAAGGCAATCTCGAATACTATGTGGGCGGTTTTTGAACTCATTCATAAATCATTCAAAGACCGGGGAGAAATTTATATTGAGGGTAAGAAATACCTCGTTGTGGACCTGCTTTTGGACCTAACACTTGCAGAAATGCTCCCCGCCCTCGACAATTATGTCTCGTACGGCGCGGGTACGCTGAAGGAAAATCCTGCCTTGTTAGACGCTGTGTTTGACATCATTCGAACTGTAGCCCCCCCCCCATCTTGTTAATAAGAGTGCGTGGACCTAATGACCTATTTTAGATCTTCACAAATGAGCGCCTAGGAGCCATGGATCGCATTTGCGGATGCAAGCTCGCTGAGGCTGTACTTCTCAACCTCCGAGGCCATGCCGATCAGTATCTTCCTCGATTTGTTGAGATCGCAATGACATGTCTCAACGCCCCGGGAGACATCAAATCATATAGGATTCACTTGATGGAAATGGTCATCAATTGCATATACTATAACCCCTCGGTTACGTTACAAATTCTTGAGCAGCACGGCTGGACGAACAAATTCTTTAGTTTGTGGTTCTCAAACATTGAGAACTTTAATCGGGTTCACGACAAGAAGTTGTCCATTGTGGCAATCGTTGCATTAATACAACTACCTGCTGAGCATGTTCCTCAAAGTATTCAGCCCGGGTGGCCCAAGCTTATGCAAGGGATTGTTCAATTATTCCAGACTCTACCCGTCGCAATGAAGAGTAAGTCCCTATCCTTAGTACTAGAGATTATCCGAGCTAACCCAGGCCAGATCGTGAGGAAATTCAGAAGGAGGGGTTGACCATAGATGATACATATGACACAGAGAGCGATACGGAATGGGAAGGTGAGGCTACCTGGAGTGCCGATGCAGATGAAGGCGACGAGGCGGATATTCCCGATGAGAGCAGTGCATATATGGACTTCCTGAACAGCGAGGCCCAGGCTCGTGGAGGAAGTTCGGGCCTAGCTACTGCATGGGCTGATGAGGAGGAAGACCTTGAGGAGGAGACATTGTTGGAGACTCCTCTTGACCATGTCGAGCCTTATATGCTTTTCCGTAGCGCCTTGATGGGTGGGTTTCCGTGTGCACCGGGTTATGAGCGATTGCTAATTGCCTAATCAGATCTTCAAAATACGCAACCTCATATCTACGAAGGCCTTACTAAAGCTCTTAGCGAAGATGATAGGAACGTCATTAAGGGCGTGATCATGGAAGCGGAAGCTAAATCCCGCGCTAGTGAGGCGACTGCAGCAGCTCTGGGGGTAAAAAATGGCAGCAATTAGGATTTTGCCAGGGTCTTGACGTTTTTATGCAATGGATCTTAAATTTAATGCCTTTGTTCATTTGTCCGTGGTGTCGGTAAAAAAAAAGCCGGGTTCGGGTTCGGGTACTGTCCTATTTATTTTTCTTACAACCTTCAAGGGGTCTTTTTTCTCAACTCTCACCACTTGCTTTTCCGTCAAGGGTTTTCTCTGTTTATTCCCCCTTTCCCTTTTCCCCTTTCCCCTATACTCCCTTTTCCATTGCTTTCGTTTTTTCCTTTTCTTCCCATGCACCAGAATTAGAAAGTTAAATGTCTTGACGGTCGACTTTGCGAACAACAGTGGATGAATTGGGAGGGGAGAACCATTGCGGCAACGTGTTTCAAATAATGTGGTCGTAACGATAAGTTGGTAGTGTGATAGTTTGTGTATGTTGTTCCCCGCCGCTATCACTCACATACGTGTAGTACTTTTCATGACGTATCACTCGGTTCTCCATCAAATCTCTCCCACGCTCGATCGATCTGGTCTCAAGCTTATTACCGGTATTGTGATCCGATACATGGTGGCTGTATGATAGATAGTCCATGTAAATTATCTATTTTTTTAATTTTAATTTTCTATCTATCCGCCCATCTATCAATCTATCTATCTATCCATCAATTCCCATTTCCCAGCAGCCAAGGCCGCTTCTGCCAGAACTCGTCACCGATAATGTCCACGTGCTCCGTCACTATCCTGGCCTTTTTCGCGAGCTTCCTTTCCTTCTCCTTTTGCGTTTTCGACTTGAATTTCGGGACCGCTGTGGTTTCCCGTTCTTCTCCTTCTTCCCCTTCCCGCTCGCTCCACTCTAGGGGTTCGGTAAGGGTGGGTTCCGCCGCCGCTGCGCCCTCGTCCTCCGGGATTCGGTAATCTCTATATACCACGCTACCCTTCCTGTACATCTCGGGCTCATTATTGTAATTAATCCCGAAGCGGGAGAAGAGTAATTCGTTCTTATCCGCTGCGAAGGTTCCCTAACATGCAAAAACCATTAATTACCTCCCACTTCTCTTCCATAGGGGGGGGAAGAGCGCACCCGTAACTCAGCCTCAGCATCCCTCCTACTAACACCACCCCTAATCACGAGAGTCCAAAACGCGGTATTGAACAAATTATTGACGTGAGCATCCGCCTGCCTCCACGCGAAGTAATCCCGGACATTCCCAACGCTGGGGTAACAAACGGCTCTACAATCGAAGCTAGGTGGAGCCCTCAAGCTCTCCCCCTCCCCCTCTTCGGCGGCAGCGGCATCGCCGCCGCCAAAGTACCGCTGCCAGAGAAAGACGTACCACCCCGTGAACGTGGACACCACCGTGCTCACCAACTTATCCTCTCGCCTATCGAACAGCGTGCACTCGCGCGGCAGCAGGAAGGAGAACTCGTCCGACACCCCGTACGCCATCCGGATGTCGGTGAGCGTCCTGAGCGTCGCTGCCGCACTCGCGTTCATCAGTTGCAGGGCGCGAGGGTCGTTGGGTTTTTTGAAGTTTTGCGTCGCGCTGAAGGTGCTGAAGGAGCGGCCGTCAAGGCGAAGGATTATGTAGGTGTTCGGAAGTAGGCGGCGGGGGTCCTCGAAGGTACGGGTGTATTCGTATCTGGATTTTGGGCGTCAGTTGGGGCAGAGTTGGGGGTGGGGGAGTGGACGGGGGTAACTTTGAGTTCGCCATTCCGGCTTTGGGTGGTGGGTTGCTGTCGTTGCGGTGATTGTTGTCGGTGGTGGGGGGTGATGGCGGGGCAGGTTTGGTGGCGTATTTACGGGTCGCGGTTTGAGTCATGTGATGATGAGTTAGTGTGGGGAGGATGCGATTGGATCTTGATACGACGCGATGACACCGGATCGCCAATGGTATCATGTCGGCCATTTTTTGCCTATAAGATAGAAATGTGATTCACGGATGGTGTGCTCGGAAGGGGGCACGGGGGGGTTCTAGAGGCAAGTGTGGAGGAGAGCTAGTGCCATACGGTAGCGTTCTGGAACTGGGAAGCGGTTAGATGTGGAAGTGGATCAGTTAAAATGTAGAAAATCTAAAAACCTCAATTGACGCCCAACACTCAGAGGATGAAATACAGTAATGTGGGAGAGGTTATTCCTGATAGCGCAATATGTTAGATTTGCCCCCACCCGAGCCGAATTCGGAGGTTCTGATTTTGTCAAAATCTTTGCAGTGAGGATTTGAGCAAAATTCACATACAAAGTGATTAAGTTCTGCATCGGTCCCGCTTCCCGGTCTAGAGTCGCAACGGGGGGTATGTCGTTTCGGCAGGTATGTCGGGAGCCTGGGTACGCCAGGAGTGTATGTTGGGTACTGATCTAAACATCATAGTGAGTTAATTGATAAAACACCAAATCTGTATCGTTAAGTATAAGGGCACGGCAAAAGAGCTTTCAATATGCATGATTCAAATCCCTTAAGCAGTACAAACCCTATGAAAAAAATTCAAACAATGTCGATTTCTCAGTCTTCATCAATATCTACTTTGTCAGGGCCATTATCCTCATCCGAGTCGTCCTCTTTTTTCAATTGGGATTTCCAACGATCAGAAAGTCCCTGTTTGGATCCTAACCGCAAATACAATGACCAAGAGCGGTTGAATTTTGCACTTGCCTCATGGCATGCAAAGAAGAAGAGAAGTGAAGAAGAAAAATTAGCCAAAAATATCCATATTCCAGCTCCAACTGCTGCTGATATTGCTAGACTCTATGATATGAATGAGCGGACACTTCAACGGCATATCAAAAAGCCCAATATGCAGACTCGGTCCCAACAACACAAGACAATGCAGAAGCTGAGTGAAGGTGAGGAGATGGCACTTGTGGCCCGGTTACGTTTTCTCGAGGAATGGAATATTCCGGCCGACAGAGTACAGACTGTCATCCTTGCAGAGGCAATACTTAAGTCAACTAAGGTAGAAGGTTTGGGTTCATCTATGGAGCATGTAGTTTCTCTCACAAAGGATTGGTTTTACCGCTTTCGATCACGGTATGCAGATGAAGTGAAATTTGTCTTTACTCAAAATAAAGACAAATTACGATGCAATGGACAGAGGATTGGCATTTAATGGATGACTTTTACTGGAAGGTATGACAATGAAATCAAAGAGCAGAAGGGGCAGGTATTTAGTGATTGAACATACCAGTTCCTCTGTATTTGACAAATATTTAAATAAAATAATTATACTAACTTGGTAATCAGATCTATAGTATCATCAAGCCAGAGAAAAGTACAACCCCATCAGTGATAACAAGTTACAGTATATTTGGAACTTGGAGGAGAAGCCATTTTGGATGGACATTGGAGCAAGAAAAAAGCGTATTGTTTCAGCCACTACCCGCAATCCAGTATTTAAAGAGCAGACAAATCGCGAGTCATACACTGTATTGGAAACATGTTCAGCTGAGGGTATGTTTCTTATACCAGCGGTAGTTCGGAAAAGTATGGCAGGGCACTTGTGTAAATGGTATCAGGAAGAGACAGCTGAGAACTACTGGTATGGGTATTCGGAAAAGGGTTATTGTAACCAGTATGGGTACTTGGTTATTATGTTTTGTTTTAAGTATCGCTTTGATACTTGGTTTGTTTTAAGTATTGTTTGATACTTAGTTTTGTTTCATGTTTTGTTTTAAGTATCGCTTTGATACTTAATTAGTTTTACCAAAGTATATCAATTGATACCTTTGATTAGTTTCATTCATGCTAGACATGAACAGATTTGTGTATTTAAAGACCACCTGATTCCATGATGGAAAAGGCAGACTTCGACAGACAGTATTTCAATATACTTGGTTGAACGGTTACTTCTTTGTTCCTCAGTACACCCTCAAAGCCTCCTTTAGTTCTCAGCTCTCGCCTCTTCTCTGGTAGAGCAGGCTACCTGCCAACTATCGTAACTTTACCAATAATGTGACTAGCACCTTGTGAACCTGTTACAGTTATAATAATCACGGGATTATGATGGAGTACCTAAGAAAGGTTTTTGAGCTATCAACAAAGCCAGAGTATGTTTTTCCAATTATTCTAATATGTTACTATAAACACTATTCACTAACAGCAATAATATATAAAAAGTGACCCGAATCAATGGCTCTGTAACGATTCATCCTTAGATGGTTAGTTCTTGGCGATGGGGAACAATACTTGACTTCTTCTTCTTTCTTCGTCTTACGATAGCAGTAGGTCTCTGCTTACGTTACCGATAGTACAAGACTTTTGTCTTCTATCGGAAACACCTATCGTAAGTTTTCTCTAACTCTTCTGCGTGAAGAGTTCTCCTTGGTGTAATGATATTATTGCAATAAAGATAAAGATTGTAAAAGTGTTTTTAGATTCGTTAAAGTAATAAGTAGGAAAAGTACTTAGAAGTCAATCTAATTTTATTTAAACTCGTACCGCCAACACTGCCATACGACGAGCCCCTGCCAGCACAGGGATACCGCTAACCAGTATACCACTAATCCTAGGCTAACTAAGTCTACAGTCCCGCACCTGCCATCCCCGAGTCATGCCCATACGGAAACTAATTACAAGACCATCAAACAACCCAGCGCCCGCCCCGGTACAAGTCCATAGCCCCTCTGGTATGAAGCCAACCAGCACTAAGCGTAGCCGAAGCCAAGGAAAAGGCCAACCCAACCAGGTTCCTTATCCAACAAATATAAAATCACTACTACCCGGTCTGAACACCGTCCCGCAAAACCTCCTCCACAGCAAAAAACCAACAAAATCAAAACAAATATAAACAACAGGCGATACAATAGCAGAGATGAGGTGACAAACCATGTCCACCTCTCGCATCCGCATACCAGGCCGTCAACCCTATGAACCCACTTTGCCAAGTGCCTCCGAAGAGCGTAATGGTGAGGAGGACCTGTACCCGCTGCCTGTCCCCCAAATCAAACTCATAAACAAAAGAAATACATAGAGGTGGTGACAGACCTAAATGGCCAGTGGGGCCTATCTCCCACCTGTGGTGCCTTGCCCCCGCCAGCCCTGCCAATTGCCAGACCAAAGAAACCAAACAAACCCCACAAAACCCAGCGTGCAAGACCCAAACAAGTCCAACCAGGTGGTCGCAACCCACTATCCGCACAGGTGGCCATCAACCATCCGGGTCGTCGAGGAGCTTTGCAGCACTCAGCAGCTTCACCCAACAGCCCCATCAGGCCAGAAATACTTAATTAGACATCGCCCAACCTGATGCATGCCTAACCGGTGCTCACAGGTGCCTCTCCCCCCCCAATCAGCCCCCCCCAAGCCCCACACACCAGACGCCACAGAGCCCATCCAGCCCCCTCAGCACCTCAGACAGATCAACCATCCGACAGCCACAGGACAGCTATACCTAACCCCATCAGGCAGCCACTGGTCTTGGCCACGCCAACAGAGCCACAACCCTCGACTCCATATAGCGGAGAGGAGCCCACCAGCCAAAGCCGGGAGCCACAGAGGAGGCAGTACCAATACCTAAAGGCACCAGCACCAGCCACACCATCCAACTCAGCCGAACCGAAGTACAACCGAGTCGGAAAAAAGGTAAGCAGAGTCAGCCAAAGCCAGCCCCACAGGTCCGGCAACAGGTATGGACCGAACAATAGGCAAGAGGCATCCCCAACTGATGTAACAAGAAGGGAGAGGGTGAACGAACAGAAGTAGACAAATGGAAGGTAGGCCCCACTTGCAATGGGTGAAGCCGTCAACCACAGACCACAACTGAACCACCCAAACGCACAGACAACGTGAGTATCAGGCAGCCAATCATCTCACACCATCCCAGGTAGCAAGGAAAAACCATACTTGAGGGTAAGATTTTTCAGGGTCAAAGCCATCCCCACCGTAGCGAGGAGGTGACACCTGGCTGAACCACGGTATATGCCGCACAGACAAAACTTCCAAGGGAACGGTGATAAACAACGTTGTAGGATTCCGACCATAGAAACATACAGTAACAAGGAGGGGGGGGGCCAGCGAGGCCCCCTCCCCAGTGGATTGATGCGGCTGGTACGACGTGTTGAAACTTGGGAAGGTCATCAGTCTAACCCAAGGGCATTTTGTATCGCGAGAACTAAGGTCTCCGTTAAAACCCAATAAAAGACATGAGCTGGCCTAAAGAATGACATGGGTGATCTCCCCCAATACAATGTTCAATGCCCCCAATCGAATGCGAAACCTGCGAGTAGATGATAGACAGGAAGCCGTTGACATTTTACGAAAAGGGGCTCGTATGCGACCGTGATGAAGTGCTCGAAGTGCTAGTATCGTGAGATAACCAACCCAACGAAACGAGATGCAAACAGGTTATCCACCACGCAACGCAAACAGACCTCAACATCAAAGACCCCAGGAACTACTGAACGAACTCAGATATCTCCTCCAGAATCCAAGGCATTAAGGCCCATCATGAGGGCGAAAGAAACGCTCGGGGCGAAGCGACGGCAAGGACAAGGAAAAGTACTTAGAACAAAGCGTGAAGAACCTATCCTCCTCGGCCACATTGACCTTCTTATATAGTATTCTTCCCACCCACAGTCATGTGACCTAAAGTGGTCACATGAGCAAAACCAAATTATAACAAACTAGTCATGTGACCAAAGTGGTCACCTACTCAAAACCCATGACCTCATAGCGAGGTCATATGCAAAAACACATAAACCAATCATAACACATTAAACAAGTCATATGATATGACTGAGTCATATGCGTGAAACCCATGACCTCATAACGAGGTCATGTGCGAAACACAAATCATATGCCCAAGACATACCTGCAAGGCACACTCGCAAGGCATACTCATCAGGCTCACGTCCCATGACTCATATTTGAACTATGTGCGAAAGCATCACAAATCCTACACATAACAAATTATA